GCTGTCCCTGCCCCGGTGCTGAGCCCCGCGGGGGGGAAGGGGGGTCTGTCCCTGCCCCGGTGCTGATCCCGGTGGGGTGGGGTGGGGGGGGTGGAGCTGTCCCTGCCCCGGTGCTGAGCTCCAAGCTGCCAGTGCTGGGAGGCAGCTGTGGTGGGTGCTGGCGGCCTGGCGCTGGGTGGTCAGACACTGGGGTGATGGGCACCGCTCTCAGAGCAATTGTGCAGAGTGGTTCCTCGCCGTCCCCCAAATCACCCGTAGGCTTCAAAGCAATCGCTCTCCATGGCGGGGCCTGGGCTTTGCCATCTCCCTTCCCCCATCCTGAGACCCCTCCTGCCATCGGATCCCCCTTGTGCTCCCCAGTACAGCCCAGTACCTACCCCCACCATGCCACCCTATCCCGCTCTGCCCCCATGTCGTTCCCGCACACCCTGCGTAGTGCCCCCATGTCACACCCCCTGCTCCCCACCCACTCAGCCTCCTGGCCCTTGCCAGCCGCTCAGTCCGTGCCTGGGAGTAGCTCAGCCTCCGTCCCTGGGGATCCCCACCCGCGGGGTCTGGCCAGGGTCCAGTGCCCCCAGCCAGCCCTGTGCTGGGAGGATGAGACACAGGGCTGGGGCGTCACCCTGCCTGGCTGTGTGGAGTCACCGACTCACCCGGGCAGGGGCAGGTGCCGTGCAGCAGGAGCTGGGTTTATCCCCAGGGAGGAAGTGGAGATCTTGCCCCCAGCACCCAGGGCGCGTGGTTACTGCAGAATGGCTGGCGTCGGGCACACGTGATGGGCGCGTTTCCGTCGGGGGGGGCAGAGCAGGAGATTGGATGTGCCCCCTTGAACTGTGGCTCAGGGTGACAGCGCTGGTACTGATGGCGAGGGCCGTTGGAGGCACAGCCTTGGCTACAGCAAAGGTGTGTGTATGTCAAGGTATGGCTGGCTGGGTTTGCACACACGTATGTACACACAACCCCACATGTGTGCACACACACACACACACACACGCACACGAGGAGTGGTGGGTTCAGTGCCCAGACATGCTTGGTCCCTCCGGCTCCCTTCGAGCTGAATTGTGCTGAGCAGACAGCCAGGCCTGAGGGCCCTGCCTGGGAGTAGCTCCTGTTCGCAGGCTTGCTGGCGGGGGCTGTAATTAACGTCTCCCCTGGAGCCCGCGCGTGAGAGCCGCTGGGGGCTGCCTGGCGCCTTCCCAGGGAGGAACATTTGGCTCTTGGGATGGTCGCACTGGCAGCTTTGTCCCACCAGGGACAGTGACGCTCAGCTCAGCTCCCATCACCAGCCTCCTGCTTTGATGCGGTCGCTGCCAGGCCCGTGGCAACCCAGCCAGGTCTGGGAGTCAGATCCCAGCTCCCCCAGGCCAACAGCAGGAGACATGGGGCGTCTGCTCCCCGGGCAGCATCACCAGGGCCGGGGGCTGACAGAGCAGCCTCTGCCCTGACTGGCGGGAGAACTCCTGGGCTGGCTACAGCAATATTCCCCAGCCGCAGGTCGGCTGAGCCGGCGAAGTCACGCTGCCGAGAGTGGGGGGAGAGAGGGCGAGATCGGCTCACAGCCTGGGGTCACTGGCCCCCAAACACACCCACGTGTGACTGCCTGTCCCCCCCGGTGCTCGTCCTGCACCCGGCCGGTTCTGCCTCAGGCTGGGCCCTGCTTCCATGTGACCCTGCGCTGTGGCAAAGCCGCCCCAGCAGCCCCGCGCCCGCTGCCCCGGCAAGGGGCTGGTGTTGGGGAAAGGCGAGTCCCAGCCAGAGCCGGGACCAGACTCAGCCTGAGCTGGTGGGAGCAGGAGGTCACCGGTGGCGCGGTGTGTGCTGGGGCAGCTGCAGCCTGGCGCGGGGTGGGGGGATCTCCAGGTCACTCCAGGGCACAGCAGATGGCAGAGGGCTCCCGCATTGGTGCCGTGGGGCAGAGGCCCTGTGGGTCCCTGGCAGCATGTACCCTAGTGAGGACGAGGCTGCCTAGTCAACAGGACTGCAGGGCAGACTCAGCTGTGCAGGGGACTAGCATGAGGCCCAGGCATCATTCGCACCCGGGCTCCCACCCCGGGAGCAGATGCCACCAGGTGCCACTGAAACGTTCCGAGGCGCCCGCTCCTGCACCTGGGAGCGGCGCTGCCCGCCAGCCATGGAGCAGCAGAACCCCACGTGGGGTGGGACGAGTGGCCGGGGGGCACATCTCACCCCGGGCAGATCCCATATGGTACTAGCTGGGTCCGTTCACTGCATGGAGCAGGCAGGCAGCTGTGAATGAAGCTCCATCCCAAACACACTGTGCCCCAGCTACCAGGAGCGTGGCCTTCTTGGTACAGCACAGTCCAGCGTGGCTCTGCATGCATGGATAGCACAGCACGGCCCCGCGTGGCACAGAGAACATGGTGTTCATGGCCCGGCGTGGCACAGGGTGCACGGCACACACAGCCTGGCATAGCACAGAGAACACGGCATTCACAGCCTGGCGTGGCACAGGGAACATGGCACACACAGCCCAGCATGGCACAGGGAACACTGTGTTCATGGCCCAGCGTGGCACAGGGTGCACGGCCCACACAACCTGGCATGACACAGGGAACACAGCATTCATGGCCCGGCCTGGCACAGGGAACATGGCCCACACAGCCTGGCGTGGCACAGGGCGCAGAGCTCTGCCCTGGCTTCATGCAGGGTACAGAAGGGTTTGGTGCCCATGGGGGCTGCTACGGATGCAGGGCGCACGTACCTGGCTGGTGTTGCCATGCCCTGTGCAGTTAGTGTTTCCCACCGTCCGGCAGGCAGCGCCCCCGCGTGGCTTACCTTCCCCCCAGCCCCCCAAGTTCGGGAGGCTCTGGAGATGAGGGGAATCAGCCCCAGAGTGCTGGGACAGGCACCCCCGGGGCGACCCAGAGGAGGGCAGAACTGGGAGCCTGAAAGCAGCCAGCCAGATGGCCTCCCAGGCTGGGGTCCGGCCAGCGCTGAGCCCCGGGCAAGCCCTGCACCTGCTCGCTCAGCGCCGGGGCGAGACCCCTCTGACTCTGCAGATCTGGAGTTTCCAAACTCATGTCAGTTCGAAGCACTGAGCCGGCTGTGCAGGGTGGAGCCGTGTGTCCTGGCCTAGGGGGGCTCAGATACCCGGGGGAGCTGGGTCGATGGGCGGGGGGAATGGGGCGGGACAGGACAGGGTGGGCACGGGACAGGGACGTGAGTGATGCCGGGGAGCGCACGGGGCAGGACGGGGTCTGGGCAGCGTTCTAGCGCTGCTGGAGTCACAGGGCATGACGGACCCGGGTCACCTCTCTCAAGGGGCTCAGAGTGGAGCCAGGAGAAACCTCCCCCCCTCCCGCCCCCAAAGCATCTGGGAGGAATCGGAGCTGGGATGTGACAGAGACACAGGGTAACGAGCGGTTAGAGACGGGAGGCTGACACCAGCCGAGGGGACGCTCGGGGACTGAAGGGCAACAAATTCATACGGGGCAACAGAAACACTTTCTGCACATGGTGCACCATCGGCCTGCGGAACTCACAGCCACAAGGTATCTCGGCAGCCCCCAGCTCAGCAGGGCTCAGGCAAGGATCGGCCATTCCTGGGGAGCAGGAGGCCTGCCAGGCACGTCAGAGAGGAGGGGAACGGGAGGGACACGAGATGAGCCCGCCCCAGCTGAGGGGTTGGGGGAACTCCCCCATGGACAAGCTGTTCCACAGGGGGTTTCCTGCCCCTCCCTCTGAGGCAGCTGGTGCTGGGCCCTGGCAATGCCAGGAGACCAGGCTCGATGGGCCCGTGGGCTGAGCCGGTTGGAGATTCCTACATCCCAGCCCACGCTGGCTCATGGCCCCTCTTCCTTGCCCTCCCCCCCTCCGTGCCCTCTTGCAGACGGGCTCTTTGTGACCGATTACTTCACCCGCACGCCGCGCAAGCTCAGCCCCTTCCGCTCCTTCGCCAGCATCGAGCTCTTCCACTTCCGCATCCCGGAGGACACCCTGGTCGCCGTCTGGAACCTCATCACCTTCAAGGAGCAGGGCGGCACTTTCGGGGACCGGTGCCCGGACCGCAGCGTCACCGTGTGAGTGCGGGGGTGGGGGCGCTGGGGGCTTGGCACGGGCCCGGGACTCCGGTGCCTGGATCCTCGTGGCGGGGCCCAGCTGGGCTGGCACATAGGGACTGTCGTGCAGGTGCTGGCCCCCTTCTGGGGACACATGACTCGCCCCCAGGACACCCAGGGCTGCGAGGCCCCACGCTCCCAAGTGCCTTAGTGCAAAGGAGTCTGGGCTGCGCCCGCCAGTGCCTCCTCCGTGAATCCACCTGCCATGGGCGACACACCCAAAGAGGCCATTGTCCGCATTCATGAGCGGGACGCTCTCTGCCCGTTGTTTTTCCTTCCATGGAGATTTCACAGGCTTGGTTAGCCAGTGGCTCCATGGGCACCTTGACCTACTGTAACGAGGCTGCCTCTGGCGGGACACTACTGAGTGTCAATTCAGGGCAAAGTGCTTGGCGCAGGGCAGTCACAGCCCAGGGCTCGGGGTCCTTTACTACTGAGGCACCAAACCAGCCACACAGCGAGGACTTCGGTCTCACCCCACTGGCTAACCACACGTCACACAAGCAATTCCCTTAGTATTGTCACCCGCACCGCTCCTTATGGGGACGAATGGTTATGAAAACCAATACCCCAGGAAAAGAAAAAAGGTTCTCCTGATCCCAAAGGACCAAGCCCCAGACCTAGGGGGTAACTTAGATCTTACCCAAAATACACGCTTATAGTCAATTCTTATTAACTAAGCTAAAATGTATTAAAAAAGAAAAGAGAGAGAGTGTTGGTTAATAGATCAATGTACAGACAGACTTGAATTCAATTCTTGAGGTTCAGATACATAGCAGAGATGAGCTTGTAGTTGCCAAAAGTCCTTTTAGAAATAGCCCATGGGTTATAGTCCAATGTCCATATTCAGGGTGGCTCCAGTCAGTGACTGGGGATCTCAATTCTTGTGGCTTAAGGTTTCCTCCACTTGAAACCCAAAGCGGATCTGAGATGAAGCAGGATTGTGTCCCAGGGTTCTTGTACATTTCCAGCAGCCTTTCGGCCTGAGAAAACAATAGGCTTAATTCTCCTTCTCCCAGACATCCTGGCAATTAGCACAGGATAATTTATCCATTAAACAGTTCAGATACAGGTTACCACAACCTTCAAAGAGACATAGTATTATTGTCTCTGTTTCACTCAAGTGTCTTCCTAAATCCTGATACTCCTTTTTTATCTTTGAATCAAAGCTATAGCAATAGACATCTCTTCCTAACAAGTCTTTAAAGTTTGGCCCTGGGTCATGTCAGTCTGTGAGTTAATTCTTTGTGGGCTAGAATCCACGTCATCAGATGCATGGAGTGGAAAATACAGTGGCAGGTAGATTTAGGTTTTGTAATGACCCATCCACTACCAGTCTTTATTTCAGCCTAATTTGATGGTGTCCAGTTTGCAAATTAATTCCAGTTCTGCAGAACTAATTTGTAAACTGGATACTATCAACTTAGGCCTGACTAAAGACTGGGAGTGGATGGGTCATTACAAGAACTAAAAACTAATTTCCCCATGCTAATTTACCCTACTGTTACTCACTCCTTCTTGTCAACTGTTTGAAATGGGCCACCCTCGTTACCACTACAAAAGTGATTTTCCTCCCTTGGTATCTTACTGTTCATTGAATTGTCGCATTAGCACTGACCCCCCACTTGGTAAGGCGACTCCCATCTTTTCATGTACTATGTATAAATATTCCTGCTACTGCATTTTCCACTCCATGCATCCGATGAAGTGGGCTGTACCCCACGAAAGCTTATGCCCAAATAAATGTGTTAGTCTCTAATATGCCACAAGGACTCCTCGTTATTTTTGCTGATACAGACTAACACGGCTGCTCCTCTGAAACCCGTGAGTTAATTAACTCTTTCTGGCCCTGTCACCTTTCAATGAGGTATTATATTACACTCATAACCTCACACCTAGATGTGAGACACACAACGCACAACACCAAACAGCCAGAGGGAGCAGTGTCTTACCCCACCTGACAGGAGCCTGCGGAGGCCTCTCGGCAGGGACCTCCCGTACCAGCCGGGTGTGAATGGGTGTATATCTGACCCCAGGGTCCCCGTACAGCCTAAGGGACCCCTCAGCCAGGGGCAGCAAGCAGCCCCTTGGAGGAGCCGATCAGTGGGCCAGACCCCCAAGGGGTTCCTCCAGCATAGGCCCCACAGCCCCACCACCTCCCAGATGGAGGCCTGGGCTCCCTCCTTCCTGCTCCACCCCAGGCCCTGCCCAGCGAGTCCCACCCAGCCAGCCCCTGGGTGAGACGTGTCCCCTCTGCAGGGACTGACGCCCCCAGCCGGGGTCTGCAGCGGCGCCCGGCAGCCTGTCCAGCCAGAGCAGGGTTTGTCCGGCACCTGGAGCCCCCATGGGCAGCCCTGAGTTCACCCCAGAGACCTGCAGGCTGAAGCATCGTCCCCCTGGCCGAGCACAGCAGCTCCCCAGCCAGGCTGGCCCGGCCCCAGCTCAGGCGCTGGCCCCCTCTGGCTCCCTCGGCAGGTCAGTCCCAGCAGCCAGCTCCCTCCAGGAGCCCGCTCTGTACCCCCTGCCTGGCCCCTTCACGGGCAAATAACAGCAGCTCCGTCCTGTGGCTTGTGCCTGTCCCCCTGCCTGGCTGGTCTCAGCCCTTTGTCCTTGAGCGGGGATCTGCCCAGCTTCCCTGCTGAGAGCTGGGGGCACCTCCTGCCCCTGGGGCAGGGGTCCCTGGGTGTCCATGTGCTGGGCACTGGGGGTCCCCCCGGCCTCGCTGGGATCCAGCATCACCACGGGGTGCAGCCAGCTCCTTAACAACCCTCTGCACTGTGACCCCGACAGCCACGGGACACCCCCCTCCTGTTCTGCGCGGCCCCGGGAGCGGACATCCCCCCTCCCCACTGAGTAACAACGCAAAGTGCAGTGGAAACTGAGGTACCCCTTGAGGTCATACAGACATTTCAGACCATCCCCCTTTGTCACACCTTGTGCGCATGCACACACGCACACACATGCATATGTACACACCCCTACATACACGGATACACACACAGACATACACACGGACACACACACAGCCCCCCCATTCCCACAGCTCCCTCCAGGCCTTGGAGGTGCTGTAAGATCCAGCTGGTGAATTGATGTGGGCTATTCCTGCAGCCCCCCCCTCAGCCTGGCACTGACCCCACACAGCGAGAGGGGCCCTGCCCCACACTGGGACACCGGAGTCTCTCCCTGTGACCTGCTGGGGTCGTGCTTCCCAGGGTGCTGTGGGTCGGGATTGTGGGGCCTTGGCACAGTGAGGGAGGGATTGGGCTGTATCTGCCCAGGTGCAGCGTCCCTGGGGGCTGATGGTGCCAGGCTCCTGCTGCTGGCGCCACCCTCCCCAGCCCTCGGCCGCTGTCTCTGCTCACCTGCTCCCATCTTACGCGCTCTCTGCCCTGCAGGTATTTCCGCTCCGGGGCTCCCCCCGTCATCGCCCCCCTCCATACCCACTTTCCCCGGGACACGGCCATCCCCAGCTCCTTCACTCTCACCCTCACCTGGAGCCTGCCAAACCGCACCACCGGCGTCTTCAACATCACCAGCCCACTGCCCGGAGACTGGTTCCTGGCCGCCCACCTGCCCAAGGATGAGGGCAAGATCTCCGTCAAGGTGAGGGGCCAGCAGGGAAAGGTTAATGGCCACGCCCCCGACACCAGAGGCAAGAATGAGCCAATGCCCTGCAGGGTGTTAGAGCTGCCCCAGGCCGGTGCAGGGCAAGGCCCCTGTTGCTCTGACTGGGAGAGGGGCAGGGGGTTCCCCATTGCTCTGTCTGGGGGAGTGTGACGTTGCTGCCCGTGGGAGCCAGCTGAGGTCACTCAATCAGGGTGAACTGCAAATAAAACGGGGCAGACAAACCCCAAACACTGGTGGATATTCCAATACTTAGATTTACCAACCAGCCCAAAACAGCTTCTGTGTTACCTCACTGGTTACTCAGAGTCCAAACAACGCAGTTCCCTTAAAGTGCCCAGCCTCAGGCCTCCGTCCAGACACACCTGTCAGATATGATGATGATTACTGAAAATCTTCTCTCATATATAAATATAAAATAAAATAAAATAAAAAAGGGTTCTCCCAATCCCAAAGGATCAGCCACACACCCAGGTCAAATGATAACTTAGATCTTACTCAAAATACACGCTATAGTCAATTCTTATTAACTAAACTAAAATTTATTAAAAAAGAAAAGAGAGAGAGTGTTGGTTAAAAGATCAATATACAGACAGACTTGAATTCAATTCTTGAGGTTCAGATGCATAGCAGAGATGAGCTTGTAGTTGCCAAAAGTCCTTTTAGAAATAGTCCAGAGGTTAATAGTCCATAGCTTTTGCGAACAGGGGCTGCTAACAGGGAGTTTTGCAAGGGAGTTGGGAATGGGAGTGGGAAGGGAGCGGGGGGTCCCTTTATTCCCCTTAAAACCTATAAACCAAACTACATTCAAAACCTTTTGCTTAAACAACCCTTTCATTAACTAGGAGACAATGCAGGCAGAAGCCCAGCGGCAGAGTGGGGGCTATCCAGTTTATTGCCCTGAGTGCAGCATGTATGATTACCTGCCCCGTGGGCGGGTGGCGTATGTGTGCATTCGGTGCAAGGAGCTCCTGGCCCTCAGAGACCACGTACGGACTCTGGAGGCCAGGGAGGCGGAACTGGAGGAGCTAAGGGAGGCAGAGAGGTATGTTGATGAGGCTTTCCGAGACACTGTAGAATTGTCCCACCTCCGGTCAGACAGCCCCTGCGCTGTTGAGGAGGATGAAAGGCCCAGGGAAGCAGAGCAGTCAACGGGAGCAGAGGGAAACCTTCCCATAGTTGGGACCCTCCTTCCAGATGGTGCTGGGGTTACCTCTCGCACTGTGGTTACCTCTCCGGGGGAGGGAACTCCAGTTGCTAGGAAAAGGCAGGTGTTAGTATTGGGAGATTCGATCATTAGAAACGTAGATAGCTGGGTTTGTGATGACCGGGAGAACCGTACGGTGACTTGCCTGCCTGGTGCGAAGGTTGTGGATCTCTTGAGGCATCTAGACAGACTTATGTGTAGTGCTGGGGAGGAGCCGGTGGTCGTGGTACATGTAGGTACCAATGACATAGGGAAGGGTAGGAGACATGTCCTGGAGGCCAAATTTAGGCTGCTAGGGAAGAGACTGAAATCCAGGACCTCTATGGTGGCATTCTCAGAAATGTTCCCAGTTCCACGCGCAGGGCCAGGTAGGCAGACAGAGCTTCAGAGTCTCAATGCGTGGATGAGACGATGGTGTAGAGAGGCGGGGTTTACATTCATTAGGAACTGGGGAAACTTCTGGAATGGGGGGAGCCTATCCAGGAGAGATGGGCTCCACCTAAACCAAAGTGGAACCAGACTGCTGGCACTAAACATTACAAAGGTTGCAGAGCAGTTTTTAAACTAGGAGATGGGGGAAAGCCGACTGCTGCAGAGGAGCATGTGGATCAGACAGAGACTTCTCTTAGGGGAGAGTCTAATGATAGAGAATCTCCAGGGTATAGTCAGGAGCAGAGGATGAAGGAGGATAAAGTAGGGGCCAGATCAGATGAGAAACATTCACATAAAAAAGAATCCGACACATCAGAAAAGGGCAGACAAATAAACAGTGACAAGTTTTTAAAGTGCTTGTACACAAATGCTAGAAGTCTAAATAATAAGATGGGTGAACTAGAGTGCCTCGTGATAAAGGAGGATATTGGTATAATAGGCATCACAGAAACCTGGTGGAGTGAGGACAATCAATGGGACACAATCATTCCGGGGTACAAAATATATCGGAAGGACAGAACCGGTCGTGCGGGGGGGGGGGGGGAGTGGCACTATATGTGAAAGAAAATGTAGAATCAAATGAAGTAAAAATCTTAAGTGAATCCACATGTTCCATAGAATCTCTATGGATAGTAATTCCATGCTCTAATAAGAATATAACATTAGGGATCTATTATAGACCGTCTGACCAGGACGGTGATAGTGATGATGAAATGACTAAGGGGGATTAGAGAGGCTATCAAAATTAAGAACCCAATAATAGTGGGGGATTTC